GCCAAACCGTGACCATCTCACGTCTACCCTCATCCACTCTCGCTTAAAGCCCGCGTCAAAACACAACGAACTATGCGCCCCAAAATCTAATAGTTTAGTTCCCTCAACTAGAGTTTCCGTGGAATGTGGTTAAGCACGACCAAGACTGGCTCCGTTCTGATTCCCCAATAATATGACCAATCATCAGGTGGTTCCATTTGAGTCGTAGGCGGCTAATCTGTTTTGAGCCGTTCGACCCCGAACAGGTATGTGGTATGTCTGCGTGTATAAAACTATCCAAACCCACTGTGTGGACGTCCTGAGAATGGCAGCCAGGTGGGGCTGAAAAAGGACAATGCGACGTGCTTGTTGGATGTATCTGTAAGTTGGTAGCTCTCGCCAACTGTCCACAGAGAAGCACAAGAACGTAGGTGTAACAGTTAAGTTTATTCTCTGAGCCACAGAACACGTGGGGTCGAGGGTTGACAACAACGGAACGCGTGGGTACAAGCATATAAGCATACAAAAGGCGTTAGTCAATGAGAAGGGCTATCGATCTCCTCTGGACGGTATTAATGTCTTCATGTTCTAACATCGTTACCGCCGCTGCTTCTAAAGGTAGACAGAAGAGATTGTAATTGACGATAGCGCGCGGTTTGACATCTGTAGGCACATTACATAGGCCCCCTATCAGCAAAGCGCTGTCCTCAGCGCCGTCAGGTATGTTTGCCGAATCCGGACGGCTGATATGCACTACAGTTGACCAGCTAGGCTTTCCAGAGTGAACAAGACGGTAGGTTACGTCGGTGAGTGCTAGTTCTACCGTATATGGTCCCTTCCATGCCCTATGGAACTTAGTCGGTATACCAATCCTGCCGCCAAGTTTGAACAACCTATCCTGCGCAGCCCTATCGTAGTACGCTTGGCCTGTTCGAGCAGCGCAACTGAGACGTCTTCAGGTGTTCGACAATCGTTGTCTCAGAACCATGGCTCGTGTAAGTTGGTGTCAGAGAATTCATAATGAGGCAGCTAGAAAGCGCGTTTTCGGTTGTGCAACGGGTACTTCCATTGGAGAATGTATCCAGCACCAGAAGCTGCGTTGGTTGGGACATGTGTTGCGTATGCCGAACCATCGTTTGCCGAAGAGAGTACTGTTTTCCATGCCCTAATTCAGAGTGGCGTAAACAGAGAGGTGACCAACCCTTGATTTGGCAGAGAAGTATGAAGGAGATCACGAAACGCTTGGGTGCTGTCGGTGCTATTCGCCTTTCAGGATGGGGACCGCGTGATCCTCACTATGCCTGGTTGGAGACACTACAAGATATGGCTGCCAACCGATGTCGGTGGCGTTCTTGTTGTCAGTTTCTACCCAGATTGCCTGAGTGAATGTCTGGAGGTGTAGGCACCTCGGAGTGATTGTGGTAACCTAGCACTAAGTCCCTTCCCTGTCCACTTTTACTTTTTTCCTCACATTTACCCTCAGGGTGATACGCTGTAGTGCGAGTCTTCTTGATATTCAATATGTGGCACAACTCTTTGAATAAGATGCTTTCGAAGTTGGAGCCTTGGTCAGTGTGTATTTGGTAGGGTACATCCCAGCGCGCGATCCACTCGGTGAACAGCGTTTTGGCCACTGTCCAGGCATCTAGTTTTGGAATCGGGATGGCCTCGCACCACTTGGTGAAATGATCAACCATCACCAAGATATGTGTGTTACCTCGATCCGTTCTAGGCAACGGCCCGATAATATCCACACCAATCAATTCGTTTGGGAACCCGGCCTTCATCGTTTGCAATGGTGCCGGGGCACTTGGTCTGCGGTCCTTTACTTGACCACACTCTGTGCATGGACTGGTTCCGGATAAGTGCCTACTTTACCTGGATGACATCATCGTACACGGCAAAACAGTGTCGGAGCACGATGCTCAACTAAGACTTGTTTTTGAGCAGTTTCAAACAACTCGGGCTGACGCTGGGACCGTTGAAATGTGCGTTCCTCCAACAGGAAGTGAGCTTCCTCGGGCATATAATCTCAGCCAACGGAATCCGGTGTGATCCCGCCAAGATAGAAAAAAGTTAAGCCATGGCAAACCCCAAAATCAGCTGACGAGATCCGTAGCTTCGTGAGACTGGCTTCATATTATCATCGCTTCGTAGCTGGATTCGCCGAGATCACTACTCCACTTACATCCCTCCTACAAAAGAACACTCCCTGTTTGGTCCGAAATCAAAACATTCAAACAGCTCCGCGACTGCCTGTGTTCCACACCTATTTTGACCTATCCGGATATATCGTCGTCTGCCGGCACCTTTATCCTCGACACGGACGCAAGTGAGAATGCGATTGGTGCGATGCTGTCTCAGCGTTCAGGTGACGTGATGAAAAGAGTAATCGCATATGCCAGCCGAAGTCTCTCACATCGAGAGAAGCGATACTGTACGATACGCGACCGATAAGGTAGTGGCGGAATTGTCGCATGAAGTTTACAAGCGCTAACCTTTCTTTGCGTATCGTACAGTATCGCTTCTCTCGATGTGAGAGACTTCGGCTGGCATATGCGATTACTCTTTTCATCACGTCACCTGAACGCTGAGACAGCATCGCACCAATCGCATTCTCACTTGCGTCCGTGTCGAGGATAAAGGTGCCGGCAGACGACGATATATCCGGATAGGTCAAAATAGGTGTGGAACACAGGCAGTNTGGTCTGGTGTTTACTACAGGTATCAGGAAAGCGAGAGATCGCACAGTTATGGGTATGACGGGTCATCGTTGGCAGTTAGATTAAGACACTGCGCATAGTTGAGGCCTAATTATCAGCGTCGCATCAAAGAATAGCCAAGGTTGGTAAAGTTGCGTACAGTTAAGAGTATGAGGATGGATTAGATTACCGGTTAATCAACGACGTACATGGTCGCAGTCCCAGCAGGTACGATAAGTAGCCAAGTAAGGCGACATCGAGTACGGCAATGAGTATGACAGGCCGTCAGCTTAGGCTCTCACGTATGGTTGAGGCCTCATTTTTACAGGCACGCAGGGATATTGGCCTGCTTACTATAGGTAGCAAAAATAAGCGGCATCGCGTATAGTTAAGGGCATGAAAGACCGTCATTGGCCATTGGATTGTTACTGTGCATAGGTGCGTTCCTATAGTCAGCGCTGCACATAGATGCGGGCCTAGCAGTTACAACGAAATGAGTGAAAACGGGGAGGATACGAGTACAGGGGGCCGTCGCTGGTCACTGAATTAGGCCACCGCGTGTGGGTGTGACCCCAAAATCAGCTCTGCATATAGACAGACATGGACACATAGACATTAAGTTGTCGGTGTGAGCGAAAACGACTACCGTCATCAGGGAGATTACTTTATGGCGGTCAGCACCTGCAGAGCGTCATATTCATAATAGGAATGATACCTGCAGCTATCTCGTGAAGGTGCATCATCTACAGGCTAGATATGCATATCTGGGAAAGGAGATCATCCACAGGTGTGCCTGGCGTCGCCGTTGCACAGTTCATGGTGTTGTATAAAATTATTGTTTCAATGGAAGTTGAGATCCATCAGAAAATGTGTTGTGAACAAGTTCTCAGAAGAAAATCATCTCATTTGTTAAATCTGAGGAGTGTGAAGGAAGAAAGCGTCACTGACCTATCTTCCAGAGTGAAATTTGCATAAGAAGTTTTTTTAGATGTTGTTTGTTCTCAATGAACACTGAGGAACGACAAAATATAGTGAAGTGCGAGTTCGTGTTTTATGACGCGTAAACCGGTCACAAAATGCGAACCAGCAATGGTCCGTGGCCTTGAAATTGCGCTCACCTAAACAAAAAGCTACGAGCAATATGTTAACGAAAGATTAAAATTCATCAGACTAACAAATAAAGTCACAAATTCGAAAACCTTGTGGTTTGGGCGAAAATAATTCGGGCGTGCAAATAGCCATCGGCCAGTTGCGAATTTACAGTGCCGAAAGATGTCAAACTGCGCAACATCGTTAATTACGATCGCTTTTGTATACGTTTAGAAGCGGCGGCAGTACCGATGTTTGAACATGAAGACATTCCTGAATACCGTCCAGAGGAGATCGATAGCCCTTCTCATTGACTAACGCCTTTTGTATGCTTATATGCTTGTACCCACGCGTTCCGTTGTTGTCAACCCTCGACCCCACCTGTGGCGTGGCTCAGAGAATAAACTTAACTGTTACACCTACGTTCTTGTGCTTCTCTGTGGACAGTTGGCGAGAGCTACCAACTTAACATCCAACACCCCACCTGGCTGCTATTCTCAGGACGTCCGCACAATAAGTTTGGATACTTCCATACTCGCTGGCGTATTACAGGTGCCGCAATTGTCGTTTTTGGATTGGGTTTCTATCCATTTCCTGCGCACTGGTTCACGTTTCACACCACTGGTGGTGTAGGTATGTAGTCGACCTGAAAATTCGGTGCCCGTCGTGGCTGGAGATACTGCGAGGCAATTTGGCGGGCTAAACAGATCGTTATGTGGAAACAGGCGTTTTTAGGACTGCAGATAAATAATCCCATTGTTGCATTTTACTACAGTTTGCAACCCAACTCTTTTGAAGACTGCCAAATTGGTGGGGATCTATTGGGCGTGGTGCGGACAGTGGAATTGCAGGACTTTGATATGGGTCCCCAAGTGACGCAACTGACGGCAACGATAGCCCTGCGTTTGCCCTAGTCAATCAGCAGATCTTCCGGCAGCATTCATTTAGCGTGTTGCAGGACGTGCTTCAGAAGCTCAGCCGTCTGGGTAAGTAGATAAAAAATTTCCCAAGTTTTCCGTGGCCATTGAAATATCTCAAACGTATCGGCTAACTGGAACGACTCCGTTGGACTTCGGAAGATCCCGTGAAGATATGTACCCTTCGCGCATATTTCAAGGATAATTTGGGGATCAGTAATTGTATTTTGTTCAGTCAGCCCAAAAGACGACTGCGTCCATTTGTGGGGATGCACACTACTAATGTGTTACTAGTGAGTGGTTCAAACTTAGGATGGGTTTGAGTGGATTTGTGTCCAGCTTTTACTTACGACTACAAGCGAGACGGCTCAACTGGTTAGAGCGCGAATTCGCTGACCAAAAGGTCCGTGGTTCGAACCCGACCTCTGCATCTCGACTTCCCCTGTCTACGCTTGGGCAACCTGGCATTACCTCCTTCGTGCTCCCTTCGCATGGCATGGCAGGTAGGTCTCGGAGGGGTGTTACAGCTGAACTTTTTTTGCAAGCGCCCTTTGTGACCTTTCACAAAGGAATTTTTGATTGTAACAGCAGTAACTTTCCCAGGTTCCGGATATGAAGAATCCCACAATGACGTTCATCCGGATTCCTTCCTACAAATAGACCTATCCACTGGTCATAATCATCAAAACAAGTCTAGCTGGCTTCAAGGGTCGAGTTTACAATGCGGCGGCGCACTCCATATTATTATATGGGTCAGGAACAGCCGCCGCGCCCTGCTGACGTAAAAGTCTTTCAGTGTTTGACCATAGACGTCTTCGGGGCATTTCCCGAGTCTGGTGGGAACACCTGTTAAGCATTGTTGAAGTAAGACGATTTCCCGGAGGAATGACTCACCTACGATGGATGAACTGACCACACCTCATAAGTTGCGCTGGCTTTGTCACGTGCTGCGTACGCCAGTTGGCCGACTTCCTCGAACAGCCCTCTTTCCATAATCGCATGAAGAGCGGAAGCTAGCGGAGGAAGTCAAACAATGAAAGGCATTACCAGATAACCCAGCTGCGCTGTTCATTGCCGTCTACTTTGATTTGGACTCCGAGACACATCGGTGGTTAGAAACATTGTCGAACACAGCCCAGTCCCGCCCTCAGTGGTGCTCGTGTATCCGAGCCGGTGCCTTCAGCGCTACCCTTCCGATCTCCCCAATAAAAACTCTACCGACATCCCTGTATTTAGGCACCATTTATGTCAGATACCGCCTCTAATGCGTAGCTATCTCTCCCAGCTCCCAAAGTCCTCGTCGAATGAAAGTATGACTGTAAGACAGGTGCGCTTATGGATGTGCTATGTCGCATGCTGAATTAGAAAGCCCACTTGGGGAACACTCAAACGCTTAAGGAGGGGGCACCTTAACATCGCCACGTGCTAACACATGACCTGGTATACCACCTGACTGTGCTAATGATTGACGCTGCATTTTAATATACTGTCATCACTATTGCAAATGAGTACCTCTTTGCTGCATTACATCACCCTCCCACGATGCAATGAAAAGTGGCAGTGCATAAATGTACGGTCGGATATAATGCAGATGTTCTGGAAGCAGTCGTAAGTAGTATTCTGTCCTTCGAATTCCTGGCGGGTTTCTTGACAGGTACCCTGGGGCCACACGATTTCCACTATTCCAGAAGTTTGTACTACTGGTAAACAGTCCGCCGAAATCATGCAATTGCGGAAGGTCTCTGCTTAGCGACTTACGCAAGACAACCAGCCATTTGGTGGCGCCAAGCGTACCAGAGTGATGCCGCGTTATTTGTGTGTTAATTTCGTAACAGCGCCAGAAGCATAAAAGAACCTGGTCTTGGCGGATTCAGGGATACAGTCCGCCTGGACATAGGTTGACACGGGACCCTACGGAATTCTTTCATAGACGTTACAGACTAAGGGGCAAGTGTCGGTAAGTACCTTACAGAATACTGTGTATCCGGTCACACCAGCCTCTTCGTCACCAGAGGGAATCTAAGGTACAGACAAGAACCACTTGTTGTCCTTATTTCAGAGTGCGAACATGTAAGCCCTAAGCGAGTTATTTTGTAGGCTTGAGACTTTATTTTGAGGGGTTTGACAAATGTTTGGTATGTACTGTGTACGTCTCATTTAGAAAAAACTGACGGTTAGCGAGGTCATCAAAGATATTTAAGTTCAGTGGGTCGTGTTTTTTTAGTTCTAGCTGTGGCCCATGGGTTTATATCCTCGGTCAGTTTCTGAAATGTAAACGTGACTTTATGCCTTGCAGCGCTATTGAGCTCTGAATTGGANTTCTGCTACATATATTTGGTCAGCAGGAATTTCCACTGAACCTTCCGTCTTAACCCCTCACATATTTGAGTTGACAGTAAGCTACTAAAAGGTTCCCTTATAATTAGTGGTTTCTCAGTTTCCGTTATCCGATTCTTGTTCAAATTTTTCAAGTCGGTTTTAGCCCTGTTTGTTTTTCGACTGCTCCCCTGTGCACCTGTATGGTATCATGCCGACCTAAAGCTGTCACCTTGTAGTGGTGGTCGGGCTTCTTTGCCGCAATAATCCTGCGGACTATTCTTGCTGGAACCCAGTTCTTAAAGGTTCAACCATGCCAGGAAGACCAACGGGGAGCAGCCCGAAGAGGAACAGCGAGTCACCGTACTGTGGGTAATCGTATTATGAGGCGGTCTGGAGGTAAAGTCGTACTGTCCTCTGCGATAGGAGTGTGAAGGCAGTAAGGTGTTCCCTCCAGGCGACCAGCCTGTTCTTATTTATCGAAGCGGCGACGTTGCCTTCCCACGAGGAAGGACGGGTTAGAAAAGGTTGGTCCCAAAAACCGCACACTCCGATCGCCCAACGGCTGACCTGGCCGCCGGCGCATTATTCAATACATTCGAAATACTTTTAAAACCAGAGAGTTTGGTGCTGCTCAAAACGCACCTGCTGTGCGCAGCCGCATCAGGAGTGAGACCGTAATATCCTACTCCTTGCGCTCTCGGGCCAGGCTGGCCTCCTGCAGCCAAATAGGTCAGACTATTGAGTTATTGGCTCCGGGAAAGGTCTCCGAAGATAGCCCTGACAACCGCTGTCTCGCTATCCAGACTCTTGAGTCAGAGGCTAAAGACAGGGCCCCCGAACAAAACACTCCATCCTCCCACTGCCTTGTGGGTCAGACTGTTGAGTCAAAGGCTCAAGTTGGGGTATTTCAACTAAACCCCTTTCTTCGGCCTGGGCAACCTCGAAATATCATTTGCCCTTGCAGCTCTTCGCTCACCGGCCTACTCTCTCGTTCCCTCCCAACCCATCATACACTGCAGTGCAGTCGACCCATCTGCTAGTCCACTAGCCAGTCCCGTGTATCAATCATCGCCCAGAAAAACAAACCGAAATAATCACCTACTAACCTCAAAAGATCTGAATCACGTTGCAGCTTTAAATGTCCGTAATCTATATCAAATTGGGCAACAGGCATCCCTTGCTTCCCCTCTATCGATGCATGTTGTGTCTCCGAAGCACGCATACAAGACCCCACTTCGGTCGTGTCCCTCAAGCCGCTTAGGACGAGCCCAGCTGTTCCACATTTCACTCTTCGGGCATCCAGTGATCCTGACTCAATGGCTCGTGGTATCCACGGTGTGGGAGTTGCATTCAATCCCAAACCAGAAGCGCGTTACTGGACTGGATTCCAATAAACAGTCGCCTTTGCGATGTACGGTTGTCTGGCTCAATTAAGACTAACGCAGGTCGATGCGGTAAACGGCGTTTATTTGTCGGATCAGAATATACAGGGGTCAGTGAGGCAGTATGCAAAAAAGAAAGGCCAGGGCAGCTTTTGCCACCCTCCCACACCTTTGGCGTCGACGTAACGTGAGTTTCTCTGTCAAGTGAAGAGTTTACACTGTGGTGGTGCAATCCATACTGCTTAATGGATCAGAAACGTGGCCCTTACGCGCAGAAGGCATACGGAAAATGTCAGTATTTGATCACCGGGGTCTCCGAAGCTTTTGGCAGGTCCGACGGATTATTAGTGCTGAGTTACGCCAGATGGTCTTAGGAAGAAGGAACTCTCCCGCCATAGATGAATTATTTACGCCTCATAGGTTGCGCTGGTTGGGACATTTACTCCGCATGCCAGAAGATCGTCTGTTTCACAGAGCTCTTTTCTCAGCCCTCTACTGAGTCGAAGCCACTGAGAGTTGGACCATGTATGACCTGGCAACAAATACGAAGACACTAACCAGTAAACTTAATCGGGTTGGCAACTGTCGTCTCTTTGGATAGGGACCCCGGAACTCAACCCACCAACGGTGGGAATGGCTCAATCGCGCAGTTAGTGGCGTTTGTGCATCAAATCTACCGCCTTTAATGCGTAGCTACCCAAGTTCCGAACGAACTGAACATGCCTTCTTTTCCAATGCTTGGCTGTATATTCCACTTCCCCGTTTTCCGGTGATCGAAACTAGCAGCTGGAACCAGTGTACCTATGGCATACGGTTTATAGCTGATAACTTGAATCGAATTCCAAGCGTTGGTACTGCTCGTGCACTTGCTGCAAACCGAGAGGTGATCAGTGTGTTCTTGGATAGAGGGGAATCCCGTTTAACACTCACGAACTTGACTCCTTCCTTATGTAGTCAGTCTGTGGAAGAACATGCCGAATCCATACTTAGGATGTCCCCATTCGTCCGACGTTTCCCCTCGTTCGGTGTGGTTCGTAGTAGGTTCTTTAGGCTGGTCACCAGTGCTTAGTTATTATCGGAAATTGCAGGGACGGCGTTTTTTAGCTCTGCCTGAAAGAAACGTCTAGTCCGTCTGAACGACATTCGCATTCCATTTAGGTTCGTTGAGAGCTTCCGCCTACTATAAACCAATAGGACCATATAACCAGCTACCTGTCTAAAACTTCGACTTAAGATTGTTGTCCGTTGTAGAGTATGCCATTGGGCTCCGATCACAGCATTGTGCGGACACGCATATCCATCCGCTCTGCCTCTTAAACACCGGCTAATGTGAAGTTGTTCAGCTCACCACCTGCAAAGTGCCTGTACCTCAGCAATACCTAGTTAAATTGGCTAGGAAGCTCCCAGAACTTGACGGGCACAATGATGATTTGGATGACGACTAGAAAAGGTGAAAGGACTATGATCACAGCTTTTGTAGCCGTCTGCCCGAGGCCGCTTGCAATGAACACTAGATGTCGTCATGATCAGCAGCTCTGATCGAAGCCGAGAAAAGTCTGCCATCAGCCAACGACTAAAACGATGCGCGCATATTCCGTCTAGTGACAGAGTGCTGGTAGACAGCGAAAGCTCTGGAAACGGATAAAGCTTTTGCAAGGGCAAACAATCTCGTTCTATTCCAGCTAATCCGATCAACAGGTCTGTGGAGGACCGATGTCAGTGAACCGTTCCCCGAAAAGGATGAGGCCTCAATTTACTTACAGACAAGTTGTCTTGAACAATGGGTTGTACACTTTGAAGGACAATTCAGGCAGCCTCTCCAGCTCGGCCTCTGGAAGGACGAAATAAAACTGGACAGAACTTTGATACCAATCCGTCATGGACAACTGAAGTCCAGCGTGCAGTTTCATTATTTCAGCGCAACAAGGCAGCTGGTTCAGACGGTTTGAATCCTGCACTCTTCAAAGAAGGTGGTGATTCCGTCGTGAATAACCTAACGATCCTACTCCAAAGTATCTGGGATTAGGAAAGCCTGCCGATAGAATGGACCTGCTCGATGGTGTTTCTTATATTCCAAAAGGGTATAGGAACGTCGTGGGAGAACCATCGGGATATCGACCCAGTGGTATTATCCTACGCAGGTTGATTCATCATCGGAAAAGGTAGTTCCCCTCGAGATTCAAGGTGAATTTCTCCCTGGTGTTGGGTTACATTGATTGTGTCTTCCCTTAGAGTCGTGTTGGAACCGCGCCATTACTTCCTACTATCAACAGTGATAGCTATTCATCGGCGATCGGTGATCTTTGGAAGGTGTGTTGTGTCTATCGACAAAGGGTGTCCCTTCTAAATTCTTATCTCTTATAAAATCTTTATGTACCTTCTCTTGTATACGCGCACATCTACGGCATATTCCCCCAAGTTCATTTAATTCAGTGGTGCTAGGCAAGGATGTCCTCGATATGCTGCTTGAGTCTTTGCCTCCCTCTAGCACCTCGAGGATCGAAATAGTTTGAGGCTTTCTTTTGCTCTTCTTGGATTGGACGCTTTAGAAATGCGAACTATTTTCAACAGCCTAAATAATTCTTCTGTACGGTTCAGTATGCACCTCTTATGTGTAAAGTGTAGGCTGCTACTATGAGACTGAGTGGGATCGAGCACAAACTTTATGCTTGTAGGTGTATTAGTGCACATGTTATGGTTGACATTGGTGAGTTGCGGCGCGTATAAAAGTAAATGCGATGCGAAATGGAAGCGGGTCCAAAAGGGAACTTATCGTTGGTGAGAGTTCCTTGGTGAAAGTCCAGACAGCGGGAACGTGTTTTCTCCGCAGCATAGCTGCCACACGTTTTCCATAATTGTCCGTGGAGTTGTGGAAAGTGGTTGACCTCCTGCTTCCTATGTGCGCGCGCGAGTCCCTGTGTGTTAACTGTGCTGGGTTTTCCTACGTGTAGGTACATTTGCGTGTGCGTAGGATTGTCAGCTTACTAGATGGTACGGATAGTCAATGTCAGACGAGTCACCTTTGTGTGACGTGGTTTCTGAGTGACTGTGAGCTGAACAGTCGAGTATGCGGGTTAAGGGATGGCTACAAATACTCCCCTTCTAGCGAAAGATAAGTTCGCTTACCTGAACGGTTCCATTAGTGGTTGAGGATTGGCGAAGGATGAAATCACTTCCGAAATCGGGAAGACCATGGCAGCGTTTGCCAACCTCTGAGATTTATGGCGTTGGTGTGACATCTGTTTGACTGTTAAGGGTTTGGTGTACAATGCCGCGGCCCGATCTGTCCCATTTTATGGATCCAAGATATAGGCGCTGCGTCTGGAGGACCTTCGATGCAGTCCATGTGTGGCCATCAGTGCCTCTGAAGTGTTGTGTGGGTCTCGTAGGAACATCAGGTGAACAATGGCGAGGTATACCAGCAAAGTAACTCTACCTCGATAGATCAACGGGTCATTCCAGAGGTTACACTGAAGGCCGCTTGCCTCATAAAGCCCTTTCTCACCCAGCCGTGTGTCGGATGGAGATGACCCAGAAGCGGACGATCCACGACTTGGCTCGTATCGGCCAACTGAGTCGCGTCGGTAACTACCGTTTCCCCGAATGGGAATCGTTGGGTGAAACAAACCAGTGATGAAAAAGAAGGAAAGCGTTCAGCTGTAGCACCCTCCCGGTGCCTAACTGCCATGCCACCCGAAGGAAGCACGAGGGCTGGGATACTGCCAGGTTGCCCAAGCCTAGACAGGGGAAATCGAGAGGCGGAGGTCGGATTCGAACCACGAACCTTCCGGTCAGTAAATTCGCGCTCTAACCACTTGGGCCATCTCGCCCAACCAGTGATGAATGACCCTGACAGATGTGAATATCATGCAACCATTGATGGTCTTGCATCAAAATTATCGCCTTCACTGCGGAAATGCCAACCCTTACTGTACGGAACAAATAGGACCATTTGACATCCACGTACCGATTGGTCCATCGCCTCCAACACGTGGCTCTCATTACCTTATTCCCTTTAACCTTCAGCTGTAGCAGCTGGAACCACTGCACTTCGGTGCACGTTTTCAGCTGAAAGCCCGACTGAACTAAGCTGATCACCAACCAATGGTGTGATTTCGTTGATTGATTCCATAACTGCTTAGGAACGACTGGGAACCACCGTGTAAAGTGGTTAGGTTGTTGAACAGGCTACTTCACCTTCAAGTCGAAACTACTCTGTCAGGAGGGCTGCTTTTATGAGAGATATTTTCGATGCTTTCCTCTTTCGTTCGTTCACAAATGTCGTACAGCGCGAAAATTGTTTGACGACAAACTTACGGACGTGGGCTTCTACAATGTTGACGTTACTGTCAGCGATGAAGCTTCAATACTGAAGATTGGTGTACTGCCGCCGATGACGATGTTGATGACAATGATGACGAGTGTCGTTCTGAAGGGCTATCCACCACGGTTGTTAAGCCCTGAATGCATGGCTTATCGTGCTTCAAAAGAATCCTCTGTTTAGACAGGCAGAGGAGTCCTTTGTTGATTGTACACTTCTATGTGACAGTTCTTCTTAAACTTGAAGATCACCCTGTTCTAGGGAGTGACTAGGGATTTTAGGGCTCACCTGAATATTGGTACAGTAATATTCGAGTTCGGTTCAACCTTTAATAGGCGCATCATACTGCTGCACCTTTCCCAGAAAACACGGTGAGAATGGGATTTTCGACGCCTCTTGAAAGCGGCTTTGCTCCGGCGTGGAACGCTGTTGTGGCTCATCTAGGTCAGTTACCATGCATGAGGAAAGATTACCGTATTGCGGTTTTTCTTTAGTTCAATCGTCCCCTACCTGATGTGGGGTTAGTTCAAGGATAAAAGCTAAGAGGAAGACTTCAGTAGTATTTATCGTGATATTCGTCGTGCGCTTTGTTTCCCATTAACCTATTTTTTATCCTGCAGCCCAATGGATGTAGAATGGGCAAAACTTTTGGGCGAAAACGTAGCCGAGAAAGTGAAAACCATTGGTCAGATATGGTCTGCGATGGGCATAGAGGGCACGCGACTCCAAGCTAGGAAGGAAACGCTGTCTACTCACTTGTACTCTATGCTGGATGCAATGTTTGACGAGGAGATAGTAGCACAACAAACAATAGTGAACTCAATCAAGGAACTCAAGGTAATTCCTCCTGGTCTAACCATGATTGAAAATAATTTCGAAGGTGAAGATCAGTGAACTAGAATCCGAACTCGGTTTTACCCACAGCACATTAGCTGAGCCTTTGAATTTAATTCAGACCGAGAAAGCACTGTTTGACCGTTTCAAATTGTTGGAAGAGAAAGCCTCCTCAATTACCGAAACTTTCAATAGCCTCCGTAATGAAGAAGAGGCTCTGGCTGCCAGGTTGGATGAACCAACGGCTGTCATTCTCTTCCGACACGTTCCGAATCAAGGTCAGCTGCGCACGCTCAAGGATAATTTGGATTTTCTCACACAGGAGAAGGTATGTGACCAAACCAAGCATTCCTTACTTGTTTGATAGCGCTCTCGGCTGCTTCGTCTGTCGGAACTGCGACAGGAAATACTGAACATCCATGGAGCAGTCGATATCGGGGATCTAGCTACACGCAGTCTTTTCATTCGGCTCAAATCCGAAGATGCTCTTGAAACACTCCCCCTATCGAAGGCGTTTTTGTCCGAGGTTGATACTTTGCAGTGTGCCTGTGAGCAGCTTCTCTCTGCCGTCCGGTCTGAGTGTGATCAGTTGTGCGTAGAAATAGAAAAGCTTGCTCTTCGCCTCAATCTTGATCATGCGGATTTTCTGGATTTGGATCAACCAACGTCCTCCAGTTTCCTCACTCAAGTAAGTATTTGGCTATTTTTTATCCTGCAGCCCAATGGATGTAGAATGGGCAAAACTTTTGGGCGAAAACGTAGCCGAGAAAGTGAAAACCATTGGTCAGATATGGTCTGCGATGGGCATAGAGGGCACGCGACTCCAAGCTAGGAAGGAAACGCTGTCTACTCACTTGTACTCTATGCTGGATGCAATGTTTGACGAGGAGATAGTAGCACAACAAACAATAGTGAACTCAATCAAGGAACTCAAGGTAATTCCTCCTGGTCTAACCATGATTGAAAATAATTTCGAAGGTGAAGATCAGTGAACTAGAATCCGAACTCGGTTTTACCCACAGCACATTAGCTGAGCCTTTGAATTTAATTCAGACCGAGAAAGCACTGTTTGACCGTTTCAAATTGTTGGAAGAGAAAGCCTCCTCAATTACCGAAACTTTCAATAGCCTCCGTAATGAAGAAGAGGCTCTGGCTGCCAGGTTGGATGAACCAACGGCTGTCATTCTCTTCCGACACGTTCCGAATCAAGGTCAGCTGCGCACGCTCAAGGATAATTTGGATTTTCTCACACAGGAGAAGGTATGTGACCAAACCAAGCATTCCTTACTTGTTTGATAGCGCTCTCGGCTGCTTCGTCTGTCGGAACTGCGACAGGAAATACTGAACATCCATGGAGCAGTCGATATCGGGGATCTAGCTACACGCAGTCTTTTCATTCGGCTCAAATCCGAAGATGCTCTTGAAACACTCCCCCTATCGAAGGCGTTTTTGTCCGAGGTTGATACTTTGCAGTGTGCCTGTGAGCAGCTTCTCTCTGCCGTCCGGTCTGAGTGTGATCAGTTGTGCGTAGAAATAGAAAAGCTTGCTCTTCGCCTCAATCTTGATCATGCGGATTTTCTGGATTTGGATCAACCAACGTCCTCCAGTTTCCTCACTCAAGTAAGTATTTGGTCTCGAGAACTGCACTCATTTGCAAATCAATTTGGTTTTCACGAGAGACTCAACTGAATCTCTCATTTATGATATTCTACAACTGAATGTGCTGCACATAGACCACTGCCTCATGTTTCAGTTGGCACGATATTCGAGATACCGCAGTATATTGTCATAAAGTAGACTACTCAGAATGTTACTGAAAACTCTTCGACAGCCCACGACCGGTTTCGCCCTTCTTGGGGCTCATCAGGTGGGCGCAGTCCACGAGTTTCCGTCAACCTTATGTTCTACTTGAACCCAAAGTGGACTGTTTTCGAGAAATACACTCATTTGCAAATCAATTTGATTTTCACGGGATACTCAATAGAATATCGTATCACAACTATCCTACGTAGCCTGTTACTTGCACTTGCGTATCTTAACATAGTTTTTGTTATGTACTGTCTGAGTAAGGTATAGGATAGTCCCCGATCGAGGATTTTGATGCATTCGTTTTGGTGACGGCGCCTCCATTTCGCGTTCTCTTGTACTTTTATCTAACTTTGGGTAGACATGTCTAGACCGTACTAAACCAGTAGTAATGTTAATAATAATGGCCTAATGATGGAGGTTGGTTCATTCCTTAGTGGTCGATTACGTCCTGCAGTGCATCAAAGACGGTGGCCATCAAATACTTGAAGATTTTTTGTAGGTTTTTGTTTTGGGCTTTCCAGGCTTCGTGGCCGTATAGAAGGGCGAATTGAGACGTTTGGAATACTTCCAAGAACATATTAGAAAAGAGTCCGAGTTATCGATAATAAACTGCGTTTTACTTGTCTAAGAATAAGCGTGGATGAGCTGAAATGTACACCCAGACCTTCAGTACGAGTATTTAGGGCGATAACATTAATAAGCAGACGACAACAATGACACGGATCTTTCATGCGAAACTCTGCTTTCGGGAAATTTCACCTTTGTCACCTCGGACGACGGAAGTCAGTATTTGTCATTACCACATAACTACTGATTCTATGTCAGATGCATTCATCAAGCCTTCTACTGCAGTCTAGTGGACGTATATCATTAAGTTAATGACAGTAACCAAACAGTCGAATTATTCGATAAATGGATTTCCCACACTTCTTGGCTAGAGTCGACAGTTTTATTCCAAACTTTTCGTCGCTAGTCTTGTACTGGTTCGTCAGTGACTGTGTCACCAATTTATAGCTGTCACGGCTGTCAAATACGTCGTTTCACTGGTCGAAGCCGTTAAGATTGTGACCGAAGAGCGAAAAGCTTAACTTTTTACAATTGTCTTTTTTTTAAGTTACTCTGAACTGCTTTTCAAAGTAGGTGTACTTTGTATCTTCTGTACGAATCGAATTTGTTCCTCATAACCACCAAGGCTTCTCGAAATCTTGCTAAGCTCTATCCTGTTTTTTTTAAAAAAAATCATTTCCACCAATTCTCAGCTTCGAGAGGAACGTGATCGCTTGACGGAGCTGCGACGCAAGAACTTATCTGTTTTCATACATAATTGCCGAACAGAACTTCAAGAGTTATGGGATGCATGCCGTCTCAGCGAAAACGACCGAGTCGCGGCGATGAGTCGGGATAGCGAGGATTGCAGTGAATCGGTTCTGGAGCGACTCGAAGCCGATGTAATCATCTTCAATCTTTCGCTTCTCACCTATCGTGACTTTGTAGATTGTTTACTGGAAAATTTTCTATGCCGACCACAAGGATGTTTTTGAGTCGTTGGATGCGTGGCAAACTAGTTTCTCACAATTCAGGGACACTGAGGTATGTTGGATTTTCTCCACTCACTAATGCGAACTTTTTACTGCCATTTTCCCTCATACGGTACATTGTCTGTCTAATTATCCTTTCTGCAATAACCCTCTAATATAACAGTATTGTCTTTCAAGCCAGTACCCTAGGAATCTAGTGAACATTGTGATAATCAAATATTCTCCGTTTTTCTATAATCGTAAAATAGGATGAATATTTCACTCGCTTTGTCTTGTCATTGTGACCCTAGGTATCCACAGTTTCCGTTTCTTTCACACACAATATATCTTTTCTGAAGAATTGTAGTCTTGGCGTTTGGTATTTTGCTAGATCTCTTTGCACGACTGATGCCCTTTCCTGCACGTCACGAATGGACACTTGTCAATAGAGGTGACTTAGTCGGCAAGACCTTTTGAGACTTTATTCGTATGAAGAGTGTTCCTAGCATCAATCTCATCTTGATACCGCATTGAGTTGAGTACGATACGTATGAGTACCGAATCCAACCAGGTCGCACGGTGAATCGACGCGGGCATTAGTGTATATTGCGCCCGAAAACAGTATCTGCTTAGGTCAAAAGGAAACTCCCGGGGCTATGCCTACCAGATAAACCCCAAGATGGATGAAACCGATCGCGGGCTATCGAGGAGCTTTCTGCAATCTTATGTGCTGTTTGTGGTCTCCTGTCTTATCCAGCCATCCTTTGGACTTTCTAGCTTGCTGCCTGCTTTCTTATTTGGAATACAAGCTGCAGGCGACTAGATCTGATTTTACGCTCTCCGCAGAATTCATACGATGTATTATTTCAGTGACCTGTCCCCTAAGTTAAGGGTACGAACTCTTGTTCGCTTAGTGTTGTCTATGGAAAAGGCTGTTCCCCACTTACTAGTGGCTCTCGAACTAGCCTCGATGAACCTCTTCTCTTTCTTTCCATTCAATCGTGATCATCGTTATCCAGCGTGGCGGCAATGGAGGTACCGGTTCAAACCAAACCTTTCTGGGATTGACTAGTAAAGATTCCTCTTGAGTGCGACGTGTCTCACTGTGTACAGCCGGCATCTTGAAGCTTGTTATTTTGAGTCCTCTTTCTCAGGTGGGATTGACACTATGGAGCCATCTCGTAGAGTTTTAGCAGTGCACTTCGTCCTACAAACGGAAATCAACTCATGCTGGGAAGTTGGTAAACATCGTGCAGTTGCTTCATCCTTATTGGGGTCCATAAACACTTCGCCTCTTGAAAATTCATGGTGGCTTCGAAACTGTACATAAGAGCTCGGCCACTCTTCTGTAGCTACGATTGACCGATGAGTATTACGATTAACCGTCGTTCGTACACAATTTAAAACGAATCATTCCTCGGTCATCCACGACATACCATGACGAATGCGGGCGGAAAGCATGGCAGTAGTGTAATATCTTGTAGCTCGATATTTATCTAGAGAATGTCTTCATTCTTCTGCAAATTAAACCGGCGGGCCTATTGCTCTTCGGCTCTACGAGGCCACATTGACTTTTCGGTGCGCTCGGAACGACAACACGATCGGAAAGTTGTGGCCCAGTGATACCATGGTAGTTGGACGCATGAAACTCAGCGTTCAGTAGCATACCAAAACGTCGTAATACACCACGGGTGTCATCACAAACAATGCCAACAACAGCTTGGTCGTGACACTGTGCCTCAAAATTGGACAAAACAATTGAACATTTTTATATTTCGTCTACTCGGTGAACAAGCCAGATTTAAGTACGGGCAACGGTAGAGAGCCTCAGATTTTCCCAGCTCAACGGCGTCGATAGAAGATACGACATTTAGTCAGTGTCACTCGAAGCACTTCAGTGAGGTCTATATTCATTTTCACAGTGTCACCGCGATAAGTTACCCTGTTAAAAAACACTGGCCTGGTTCTGGTTCTAACACGGCTGATCCAATTTTACCCATTCGTTCAGCTACTGAAATCATGTCAGTAGCCGATAATATATCAGATTTACCGTCAGTGGCAGTTTCGAAACTACTCCTGAACGCGAGGGATTTTTATTTTCACACCGTGCATTTCGCAACTTTTTCAGGAATTACCTATTTGATTGCAGAATGGTTAAAATATATCACGGGAACGTCCAGTCCTTGCTGCGTTGCAAACCCGCATCGTCAGGCTAACGGCGAAGTGATTATTTACAGTTTCTAACAAATCCTGGGAACCCAAAGTTCAGCATCATAATTTCGATTTGCTTACTGCTATTCACATATTCACAGACAAATTAATATATTATTTCTGTAGATAAGTAAAGTACTAATATATTGCGAGCTCGATACTTGACTTCCCTGTGTAAAACTGCCCCAGGTTACTTCCAAAAGCATAAAAATTACACAAATGAACATCACCCGGAAGAAGAGCAGATTGTTAAGCAATGACCGGAAGTGGGCATAACTGCGATTGGAATGTGCGCCAAGACACACAATTCAAACCGACTGGCGATAGTTCAAGACAATCTTGGGATCTCTTAGCTATTCAACAAACTATTAAATAACCATACTTAACTATTAAACTAATAATTAGCACTAAGTGCTATATTACTGAGGAAATGTTTGCTTCCATGGCTCAGCAGTTTTCGGTGACTTACTGGCATGAACTTAAGGATCCTCCCGAATCTTACGCCAGACATTATACAATTCCGGAGTCTTGTTTCGGTTCACCTCATGACCTAGTTGTCTATTAAAAGAAATTGGAATTACAGAAACGTGAATACTGTTTGATACAGGATATCACCCAAGATCTGAAAAACTGCCTTTCGATGGAGCAATCGTTTTTGCGTTGAGTTGTATTTTCTACTCACGTGGTTTGATTGGTTTATCGTTTTGTTTTTACTCTTGTCCCCGGGAAAATTCGAGTATTACTCGTCAGGAAAACATCAAGAGCCACACTCATACTCTTTTTCTCTGCCTTCATTCATAGTTGAAAAAGAAAGATCCAATCATTTTGAAAAACCGTGGTGGAATATTACTCCAAGTCGAAAAACAGTACAAGCAGTTACAGCGTGAGGTTAAACGTCTGGAGACTCTGCTTCAAAAACTGGCGGCGGATCCGTTGCATTCAAATCTAATGATCCACGGCATGAAGATACTGGATTTTATGGAGGCCTCTCGTTGCCAACAGCTAGAAGATAAGGAGAATGATATTAGTCAACGAAGGCCGGCTCAACTTAAGTGAGTTCTCTCCGATATGATGATGATAATGATATGTTCCAAGGCTTCGTCATTACTGTACCCTACTTTGATGTGATTATCTCGGGTGGATGGACGAACTTCATGGCATTGCGCTAGAATCCCGTGGGAATTCGCTATATCCTCAGAACTACGAGGCCTCTTAGTTCAGGGAATCAATTTTGTGCTTCACACAACCACATGCAACTTGCAGAGGAACTGTGAAAATTCGGTGGGGGGGTGGCGGTGTACAGTACCTCATCCTAGCT